TTGAGAGTGCACCCCGGGCACTATCTATGGGGTCGCCCACAGGAGCGGAGATCCAAAAGGAGCTCATTGTAGCTGGTCTGAAAGAACAAAACAAGTGCCTGTAACTAGGGCTGAGAAAAAGACTTCGATCATCAAACGGCTGATTAAAGGAGTTGAAAGGTTTGCTGGAGTGCCGCAGTTAGAGCAGCGTTCAACGATTCCAAACCGAGATACGTGTTCTCGACCTCATCCGCCATCCGATGTCAGAACAAGGATAAGTTGCCTACATTGACCTCGCCAATGCTCACCTACCAATTCAAGTGCACCTGTGGTGCCACTTACGCAGGTTGTACTACAAGGCAGCTATTTAAACGCACCAAAGAATCATCAACCCATGTAGCTTAGACGCGGAGGAATGGGAGCTATTTCCAGTTCGATTGTTGCACACTTGGTCAAAACTGGACATAGAATGAATGCTAATTCGTCTTTCACTATCATCCAACACGTCCCTCAACACGAATCCAAGGCTGTTCGAATTTCAAGGCTAGCAACAGCCGAGGCAACTATCATCCGACTGTTGAAGCCAGAATTATGTGCTCAAAAGACACTTGTACAGGAATTTAAGCTTCTCCGGACTAAAGCGGGTAACATTACACGTTTTGATGACCCAAATCAATTATCAACGCTTACGTAACCCGTTCTTATCTGAACAAGGGAACTGGAAACGAAGATGTCCCCACACCCCTCTTTTGCTATAATCATTTGACCTCGACCGTTTGACCCCAACACAACACCCCCCGCTATTTTCTTACATAATGTGATTGTAGTGGCTTGAGAAGAAAACAGTATAACTTCGGAGATTTTCAAGACCTTGTTTTCTATACCAAGTGGCGAAAAAGCTGATCAACCCCGTAATGTTACATTACTCAGCAATCAGAGAGCGAGTTCGTTGACGGAATTGTGACTGAGCGATAATAAGTATTTGCATCAGACAAAGAGACCATCAGCACGTGTCCTCTTCATCATTAGATAATAGAACAGCACAAAAGTATGCAATAACAATGAGGTAAGAAGTTTTACTTTTACCGATATTTACACTTATTCAAACAGTGGAACAGCCTTGACGAAGAGTGGACTAATATCGAAGAATCCAACATCAACAAAAGATAGAGAAAAATCCAGAGGAATCAACAATGCACAGGCACATCAGTCTCATAGTCTCTTCTTGAGTGTGTCAAGACTAGGGATGAACCCTCGAACAAAGGCGTGCGACACTGAGGACGAGTGTTTCATTCAAACTTAAATGAGAACTCATGATCCTCATGATGCCCTAGAGGCTAAATGAAATAGTATGCACCTGTTCATGTCAGATACGTGTACAAATAGTGTAACGAGAAGCTAATAGAAATGTCAGAAAAAGGAGAAACAGCTCACCGCTAGAGGTGTGATGAAACTGGCTAGCTTGGGTATTTTGTTCTCCAGCCAACCGAGCAGACGTTCCCGAGCTCGGGGTCTAGTCACATCCCACGGCCACAAACAGAATCCGTGATCCCCCAGGAATTGGCCAAGGCCGGGTGAACAGAGAATTTGTTGGCAGAATACGTGACAAGCCACACTGTCGTTGTGATGCAGATAAATGAAGAGCGGTTTACGCTGTTGCATCGGACGAAGAAAAGATAAAGATGAAAACTATTGAAGTTGATGCTTGCACACATAAATGTGGTCTTGTGAAACATAATGGATAGAAAACGATCAATGGTGATACTTCTGTAACATCTAAGGTATTTCACAGGTGAAAAAGTCTGACACAAATTGGTCGTAAGTTGCAAGCAATCAGAGGAGAAAGAGAATTAGGGTGATTTCTTAACATTGAGACTGTTTTGTAACCTCTAGTCTTGAAGTGCGCTGTCCCTCCATATGGTCGTTGTCCAATTCTGAATCTAATCGACGAGTACAGATTTATTTTCCGCTGCTAAATCAATACCCTTGAGGTAGGTTTAAAACTATGTGATAAATTGCTGATGCCAGATTTCTGCATAGTGTTCAAACTGATCAAGCACGTTCAATCCAAGATTCACTGCGTGCTTCATCGACCTTTTCGATAAACCCTTTTGAGCACCATGATCCTTGCTAAGTGCTTCGCCTTTGGTCAAGGGCAGTTCTCATGAGTCGTATCGCCAGTATTTTCATCGACTGTTTGTTTGCCTTATACCATACACATTGCTCATGCCGTCACGATTCTTGTTGACTCCATTTGAAGTTGGGGTGTATAAACACGTATCACCAAAGCACTGGACGATGGTCTACTTTAGTACCCCCATTTAGTACGCAAGTTTAGGAGTAATGCAGTTTAGAATATCAACTAGTCACATTCACGAGACAGAAATTGTGATGAGCGCTGCTTTTGCATCCATATACAGAATGGGAGTTGAGACCCTTTGCGCATAAGACACATGATAGACGAGGATATTGAAAATTCCAGCTACATTTGGCAGAGAAAACACTCAACTGATATGTGCCTGAAGTCTCCTGTGCAACTACGGGAAGGAAAATGTTCTCTTCATCGACAAATGATTCAGCATTTACCTTGTGGGGAATTACTGATCTCCCAAGGAGTGAAAACCCCACCCAAGAACATCAAGAGTGCCCGGTGCCTCTCAACAATCGAATGGGCTTATTCAAGCTTGATAATTTAAATTATTCAGCCTCTTTCAACTTCACATGCATTGCGCGGGCAGACTACATGGGCAGGACAAGACAGAATAAACGAGGCAAAGAGTTTTTCGATGTTTTCAACGTCACCTCTAGTCCTTATTCAGCCAGTGCGAACTGCAAGACATTGGTGTATGGACACACGGTTGGCGATGGGTCTTTAGGAGAACACTTGCCATTCGATGGATACGGGGCAACCTGGTGAACCATAGACAAACTATTTTGTAGCCCTTGGATCAGACGGCAGAAGCTGTTTTCGATTAGTATGCCTTGTTACTGAGCCTTTCAAGCATTGATTACCTTCATCCTGTCTCATTCTAACTGTCAACCGGTTTGCGGTCGACACGTGCAAAACAATACATATTAAAAACAAACCAATAACACCAAAATCAGCAAAAGTGACATGAAAATTCGAGGAAAAATGTAGCAGGAAGTTTGACTGCTGCAAGTGCACCGCTGACACCGGTTTTGAGCAGTGTCTGCTAGTGCCCCAAGTGACAGGAAACCACCAACCTTTTACCTCCAGCCGTGAAATCGAGATCATTCAACAATTGCCCATTAGGATGTTCGTGTGTTCACCCTCTTCAGCATAGATTATTTGTTGTCCAGTTTGTCGCCGCCTCCAGCAGGCGTGTAAAATTCCAAGAAACACGATATCCAACCTGCTAGGATATGCTAATCATGTCAGACACCTTACACTCCAGTTCATTTGTTTAGAAACGGAAAACGACAACAAACTGGAATTTTTAGACATCTGTCTGAGTCGTAGATCGGATAGTTCGGTACAACGATCATTGCATAAAAGGGCGCCTTGGAAGGGCCAATATATTCATTTTTGCAGTTTTGTACTGCTCACAGTGAAGAGATGCGCTGNTGCGCTGCCTAGCAGATAGAACAAGAAAGATTTGTGTTGAGGACACAATGGAGGAAGAGCTCCGATTCTTACGCACTATCTTCACACAAAATGGCTATCCGGAACGACTGGTAAGCAAAACGATTCAGTACAGTGGAGATATTGTGAAAAAGACCGAGATCAGAAAGAAATCGGTATGCACTGTCTTGCCGTTCAAATGGGATACATCAGCAGAGGTAATACAAAAGAGACTATCCAATGCTGTTGGTAAAACCTTCTATGCAGCAAAGCTCAAAGTTATGTTCACGTCCCAGCCAATTGTATCGTTATGATGAAAAGACAAAATGCCGGATTCTGCCATCTGATTTTGTGTGTACTCACTTGCGTGTTCCTGTGGAACAACGTGCATTGGACGTACAGTCAGGCGTTTTGTCCAGACGAATCCCTGGTCATCACCCGGCATAGCTGAATACAGAAACGATTAGGTCACTCTGCTGAACTAGTGTGCAGTAGTTTCACACCTAGTTGAAACTAACCACACTCAAAGTGACCGAGGTATTTCATCCCTGTATCGGGTTCGTGGTCGACTATCAACGCAGATTCGAAGTCGTAAGCTGGCCACAGTGGAAGCGGTATGAATTCATCTGCACAACCACCCCCCTTTGTATGCCCAAAAACAATGTGAAGGTCGTTAAGCTCCCCTGGAGCACACACCACATATTCCGAATGGTCCCAACGATCGGATGACTTAAACGTTATGTAGTCTCAAACGGTAATTGGTCGTGTATATAGCAGCTGATCAGACCGTCTTTTTCATTTTTCACTTACATGATATAGCACAGCCCATCTATGCGAGCTTGTCGCAGGCCATGAACCTCGCTCATCTCAGCACTAGCCTCCGGAGTAGTGACTCGGTTGTGATCATTGAGAATCCCATCTCTGGTCCGAAGACCGATATCCACTTTGGAACTGAATCAAATCCTCCATTAGTCACTTGAAATCAGTAGTTAGGTTGTGAAAGTTTCCAACCGAGTCATAACCCCAGAGGCTAGTGCTGAGATGAATGAGGTCTGTAACCGGCAACGAGCTAGCAAAGATGGGTTGTGCCATATCGTGTAAATGGGAAATGAAAAAGACGGTCTGATCAGCCACTCGGTGGCCGAGTGGATGGCATGGTTGCCTTCGACTTGTGAGGTCTCGGGTTCAACCCCAGTTGGGTCGATGGATTCGCACTGCTGATGAGATCCAACCAGGTCGAAACAGCTGTCTAGCTTTTCAGTTCACACTTCATTTTCTATAATCACGGCGAACTTCTCCTTTGAAATCGAATCAAATCCTCCATTACTCATGTGAACATTAAAATTTAGACATCCGGTCCGAAGAGGAAATCAAATCCAGAAAACCTATGAGGTTATTTTCCCTTTCCCAAAACAATTGTTCGGGTTTTAATAGTTGAATACGGATTCACACAGTATTCCTATTTCTTCTAAACAAAACCGACATCATCTGAGGGATGATAGAATTTAACGTTCCATGTACACTGCACTTTTTTACGAACACCCGTCGGATAATGCGCACATGTATATTAGCAATCTGTTTATCTTCCTCCGTGTTTCATTGAATTACGCAGATTCTGGGGGTAAAGTCTACCTAGTTTGAGATATGAATTCTCGTTGTGCGTTCAGTCGACGTGTCACCTCACTGAATTTGAAAGATTGCGTGCATTATGTCACAATGCAAGCAACTGTGCATACCACTTGCGAATCTCCAAGTTGACGACTAGAAAAAATTCATGGACTTAAGCTTTTCGGCGATCGAAGCTTACATAGCTTATTGTCGATGAGATTAAATAAACCTAAAATGATCCATCGTGCATATATATCTTAACAAGTAGTGTGTGAATGACGATTAAGTGAAGTTGGTTGCGGTTAGTAGTATCTAACCCACCTACAAAACATCGAATCCTAGCATTGGTTCTTCAATTGACTAACTCTAAAAGAGCTGTCTACTGTCTAATGTGTTGTTGAGAACAATCCTGATATCGATACAGCAACAGTGAAAATGAAACGAGGTGCATTGAGTAAAACTGGAGAAAATTACGGGAAGTAAATCGGGGACACCGAAGCTGTTTGCCAATCGGCTTACATAAAGGGTAGTTTGGACCAGATTTCCTGGTTATAACAAACTTGAACATATCCCATGACAGCAGACCAGTCATTAATAAATCGCAGTAGCGGGACTCATATGAAGAGTTGAATGTTGAGAGAAATTGGAAAGATGGGCTGAGCTCGATCACAACTAGCCTCGTTATGATCGGTCATGAAATTTGAACTGATTCGCAACTTTTGTTCGCTTACTGTACAAGTGTTATATGATCACCACAATGATATTTGCCATCTTTGTTTTGCCAAACAGTTCCTCTAATGCAAGCACAAATCCAAGAAAGGGGACAAAGGATAGCATGGAAGACCATAGAAACAAACTCACATCAGTTACACTGGCTATACCCACGGACGATGAAAGAGCCACGTCCAAACTGCAAGTAGCAAACGGTGGAGCCATGGTAGCGCCATCACCACAGTACCGTTGAAGAAATAGCTGACAAAATTTCTCGGTTGCTTCACTGGGATCATCGCTAAAGTGAGATTCCGGAACTGGAATGACGACCACAGTGTTGCGAGAAGAGGTGCAAACGTGTGACAGGATTCACGAAAGATTCAATTATTTTCAAGTGACTGTCTAAAATACACCTATCAAAACCTTTATCCCAAATAATGAACATAACTAAGCCGAGGAGTTATATCAACGTTATGTGCCAGGGGAAACGTCTTTAGTCCTTACATAAACAGTAGTCATCTAAGGCCTACGTAAAAATTATGGCCACAGTAAAGTGTTTAGGACCTTAATGAATTACAGCGGTTTGTGCAATTACTGTTGTGTGGTTTTAGGTAAGTGTGAATGTACAGCCTTCAGATAACCAAAGAAACGCTCCAAAAACTCCGCGTATGGTTGGTTGTGGGTGTTCCTCAGAAAGAAATACGCTATCACACACCACCCACCATAAACACCCGGAATGATGTGCATTCACAATTCATACGGGAGATGTCAACTGCCTTCTCGAATTGACCATGTTTCAGGATGTCCACCTGTAGGGGGTTAGCTAGGCTGACCAGCCTACAACAGAGAAGATGAAAAATTGTGAAATCAAACCACCCATGAGGTTAGTGAATTGACTTCGGGACAGCTGTATAAACAGTGACTGGCTCCATTGAGTGATAGGGTATACCAGACACTGTTTCAACATCGGATATGAACTGACCGGAAAGACTGATAGCGGTATTATTGAATGCAAGAGAAGTGGACGAAACAGAATCACAAGTGCCATGAAAATTTGGATGATTAACACACAGTGATAACTTGCCCTAGCATTGGTTGGCGCTTTCTTCTGCGCGAAGCATTTGTTCGCTCGTGGAACAGTTCCCCAAATCCATCACCTATTGTGTGTGACTCAGGCAGTACAATAATAGACCAAGGGTATTGGAAAAAGCATTTACTCCACATCACAACACAACCGCCATTCGTCTCAGCTTCCATCATATACCGTGATGGCATTTGCTAGGTCTAGTCTGGTTACAGAATAACAACTGTCAGGGAACGAATAATGCAGGAGACGAAACAGTGTGTGGCACTCACTTAGAGGATCAGCCCATAAATTATATTTCGGTTGTTCAACTTCATCCAAATCTTCAATATAGTTGTCATAGTCGTAGTCCTCAACATCATCATCAATGTCGGATGGCTAGGAAAAGCAGTAGATTGAAAATTATAGATATATAAGCGAGAATCGGTGACGAAATTCGTACAACAATGTGGCGTCAGTTAAACCGAATATGCTAGGCGAAACAGAATGCGAACCCACGGATGACTGATGTATTCGTGTGCGATTACGCAGTAAACGCGAAGAAAAATATGAAACTTTTTTAAATATGCCAAGAGAGGATGAATAGAATCATAAGAATATATTGAAACTTTGATCACTTCTCTGATAATTTGTGGAATGGGGAGGTTAAGAAGTTTTATCATAGCAACGAAAGTGCAGTATGGAGCATTTCGCTATTGCCCGATTCTTCCAATCACTGAGATTACTGAAGCCAACACATTGTGGTCGAAACCTACACCTGTTTTGAAATTACAACTAAACATTTTATTGTCCCTCGCGGTAAACGTTAAACACTGAATCAGTTCGATCGAACAACTCCAACAGAAAGTAGAAGTTCCACAAGAAAACTTTTATTCCGCTTGCTTAAGGAGTGACACCGAAGTCAGATCAAGAGAGGATAGACAGCAGAGACTCCTTAGTTCTAGCATCACGCTGGTTGAGAAAACCTGAATTCGAACTCTGTCCTTGGAACAACGACCAACCGCTCGCAAAGGTAGAAATATACGAAGGACACAACAAACAACTGCGGTTCTTTTATTCACTTTATGAGTACTGGTACCATCACGACGAGGCTGTACCTTGATGTGCTGTGATGGCTTGTGCACCTCTATGACCCGACGAGCTACACAGGATGGCTTTCGTCAAGCCGAAGATCTGATCATGTGCTTGGAAGGTCGAAGGGTAGAGATCGGACAAAGATCTGCCTCCTGGTCCTAAAGGTTGGGGGTTCGACTAGAATTAGCGTTTCAGTTGGTAAAAGTGGTGAGGGAGTAATCGATCCAAGTAAATAGACCTCCACTCTGCTTCACCCGCTGCCTTGCGGTTAGGTTTTTGTCAGAACTAAAGGTTTTGGTTGAGAACCCTAATCGTTCTCCCGCTTAGTGGCTGGGCACTCTAGCAGTACCCGTCCATCAAACCCCAATGGATATGCATTGCGAGTTTTGCAGCGATCAGTGAAGTTCGCTTCTCTGTATTTCGCTGTACGATGATGATGATGAATACTGGTAAAAACACTGGTAAAACATTGTGTGACGCAATCGCTCCACATGACTCGATTCGGTCATAAAAATGAAAATACATGCAAACAAACACTATCGAAATGAAAACAACAACAGTTTATAAGTGTTTGGTTTTTCTCAGGGGGTGGTAATGAACAGCTCAACACACTAAGCAGATTGACGTATATTGAACTAAAGTAAAAGAAAGGTTTCGGAAAGCAACACTAAGCTGGAGAATCGCGAAAGAACGTATTGAGGAATCAAGTCAGCGCTTTGCGCGAATTTTCGATCATTTCTCTATGATTTTTTACGTCAGGTTTGAAGATTTTGCAAACAGATCATACAAGAGACCAAAAAGAAAATTCAAGAAGCTCTCCAAGATAGCGCATGGTGACAGAGGTAAAAGCCAGTATTTTCGGCAAATGGAAAAACGCGAGTTCGCAAAATTTTCAGGGACTCAACTTAAAGTTCTGACATGCAAGTTTAGTTAGATTTCCAGGAGAACGGTGGTTCAGCAGGGTTTTAAGTAGTGTTTATGGACGTTGAGCTGAGGGGCCCTATACATATGTCACTGTCTTTGTTAAACTTCCGCAAGACAGTACCGGGACGAGGACAGTGCATAACAAGGAAGAACGATAAAAACAACGATGAATTGGAGTATATAGAACAAAACATTTCATCTGGAACAGGTCAATCATAATTTCTACAAGCAAAGAAACTATTTGACGGAAAACTCCGTTATTGAATGTGCATTGTTTGTAGTTACAATTGTAAATAAACTTGTACGCTCCAAGTGGTATCGTTCATTTTTGACCATTGTGAGAAACCGCCGATTGAATATTTTTGCGCACTCTAACCAAAAACAATAACTTATGCACACGTGACGGTCCAATGAGCATACAGCATACCGTACCGTACATTCGGTCGTTCTGACCAGATGCGATTGTGTTAGAGAATGAAAAGACGAATACGCATTCAAAAATATGATGGTGGGGGGCCTTTAAGTTCATGGGGTACGATGCGGAATCAGGCGTCAAATCTGAGAGTCAGTAATACGACATGCTCGATTCTAGCAGTATTTATCTTTCATCCATACTTAATACAGAGTAAAATACTACTACAATTGATGGTCAGGCTACACGAACATTTCCATTTTAGTTCGCCTAAAATCACACAGCCGAAAGATAAATGAGGACAAAATAGAAAAAGGTAGCTCGGAAGACCAATTTCAACACTCACGTGATCATCGGAGAGTTTACAATGCATGGGCTTCCGATAGGATGTACGCTTCGAGCTAGTTGTTGCAGCATTTGCACCAGTTGTGGATTCGGTATATGATCGGTAGGGTTGATCGTTTGATCCAATACGCAAAGAAGGATTGTCTGTCGAAGCGCCATTCGCAGGCGATCGGGTTACCTGGGAACGAAGGAACAGCAAAAAGGGTGGCTGAATCAAAAGCAACATTGGGTGAGATATCCACAACGACGCAAGTGCATTACTGTGCTGATGAACTCACTTTCCACGGGTACCAAAACGATTTGCAGAAGCGAAATAAGACTTCCCAAATTGTTTTCGCTCCAGTTCACCAGAAAAAGCACTACGCATCAAAACTACCCTTTCATTCATTTTATTTTCAACATTCCCGTGGACACACTTATGAAGACGACTATCTTCGAAAGAGGATAGTAGTTTCGGCGAGGAGGTAAGTTGTCTGATGCCCACACGAGATCAGAGAGATTGAGAGAACAGCCAAGGGGTTGCAAGTTTTTTTTGAAACGTTTCGAGGCAACTATGCTTGCTCGGCATCCCGTATTTACATGTGAATTGCTGTTACAGGATAGGATTGGTGCCACTTTTAAAACAATAAACAAATCAAAAATGGATTGTACCAATGTGCATTCGATAAATGAAACGAAACAAAATACTTGTGTTGGGTTTAAGGTTAGATGGTAAGCAGTGACGTTTAGGCAACTAATTTTTTTCCTTGCAGATCCGGTTTACGCGCGTCGTACATATGCATCTTGATAAGACTCTTGGCATTGCTTTTAATTTGCCTCCTGGTCCTTAGGTTGATCAAATGCCGGTTCAAGAGACAGTACCCGACTCCAAGTACAGGAACAGAAAACAACCATTTACAATGCATCCATGTTTATGGAAGGAGAGTTTTCTTTTACAGCGAAACACGTTGAGCGAAAAATTGCTAGCGTATGTTAAATTCATTTCGAACACGCGGTTCATAGTGCCCTTGATTCAAGCAATCTACAATCCCGCAGACCAATAACGTCCCGAGTATATAGGTGAAATGAAAGAATCGATCAATAATGCGGATTGGTTGCAGTAGTACAGCTACTATTTCATCGCCTTACAGCGAAATACAGGGAAGCGAACTTCACTGATCGCTGCAAAACTCGCAATGCATATCCATTGGGGTTTGATGGACGGGTACTGCTAGAGTGCCCAGCCACTAAGCGGGAGAACGATTAGGGTTCTCAACCAAAACCTTTAGTTCTGACAAAAACCTAACCGCAAGGCAGCGGGTGAAGCAGAGTGGAGGTCTATTTACTTGGATCGATTACTCCCTCACCACTTTTACCAACTGAAACGCTAATTCTAGTCGAACCCCCAACCTTTAGGACCAGGAGGCAGATCTTTGTCCGATCTCTACCCTTCGACCTTCCAAGCACATGATCAGATCTTCGGCTTGACGAAAGCCATCCTGTGTAGCTCGTCGGGTCATAGAGGTGCACAAGCCATCACAGCACATCAAGGTACAGCCTTGTCGTGATGTTACTATTTATACTAATTGCAGATAAAAACTTGTGGACAACAAATGCACATTTCAGTCTATCGTTGTTACCGATAAAAGCAACAATAAACATTTCCACAAGGCTTAGTGAAAAACAGACAGAAATAAAACTGCGTGTGCTAACAGACTACAGAATGGTTTTTTACTGGCCCTCTGTATAAGCTTCAAGGCTTAGAAGACAAATGCAACAACTATCAATAAAGAATGCAAAGAAGCAACCAAGCCAGACGAACGAACCAGCGAGGTTGGATTTCGCACCATCGTAATAATGTGGAGGATTTGACCCCCACCCCCTTGCCCCCTCTGATAAAAAACAGCAGTAGTTGTACGCTGAGCCTATTTCACCCG